CTCCACAGATTTTCTATGGGGTTGAGGTCTGGAGACTGGCTAGGCCACTCCAGGACTTTCAAATGCTTCTTACGGAGCCACTCCTTTGTTGCCCGGGCGGTGTGTTTTGGATCATTGTCATGTTGGAAGACCCAGCCTCGTTTCATCTTCAAAGTTCTCACTGATGGAAGGAGGTTTTGGCTCAAAATCTCACGATACATGGCCCCATTCATTCTGTCCTTAACACGGATCAGTCGTCCTGTCCCCTTGGCAGAAAAACAGCCCCATAGCATGATGTTTCCACCCCCATGCTTCACAGTAGGTATGGTGTTCTTGGGATGCAACTCAGTATTCTTCTTCCTCCAAACACGACGAGTTGAGTTTATACCAAAAAGTTCTACTTTGGTTTCATCTGACCACATGACATTCTCCCAATCCTCTGCTGTATCATCCATGTGCTCTCTGGCAAACTTCAGACGGGCCTGGACATGCACTGGCTTCAGCAGCGGAACACGTCTGGCACTGCGGGATTTGATTCCCTGCCGTTGTAGTGTGTTACTGATGGTGACCTTTGTTACTTTGGTCCCAGCTCTCTGCAGGTCATTCACCAGGTCCCCCCGTGTGGTTCTGGGATCTTTGCTCACCGTTCTCATGATCATTTTGACCCCACGGGATGAGATCTTGCGTGGAGCCCCAGATCGAGGGAGATTATCAGTGGTCTTGTATGTCTTCCATTTTCTGATGATTGCTCCCACAGTTGATTTTTTTCACACCAAGCTGCTTGCCTATTGTAGATTCACTCTTCCCAGTCTGGTGCAGGTCTACAATACTTTTCCTGGTGTCCTTCGAAAGCTCTTTGGTCTTGGCCATGGCGGAGTTTGGAGTCTGACTGTTTGAGGCTGTGGACAGGTGTCTTTTATACAGATGATGAGTTCAAACAGGTGCCATTCATACAGGTAACGAGTGGGGGACAGAAAAGCTTCTTACAGAAGACGTTACAGGTCTGTGAGAGCCAGAGATTTTCCTTGTTTGAGGTGACCAAATACTTATTTTCCACCCTAATTTACGAATAAATTCTTTACAAATCCTACCATGTGGATTCATGGATTTTTTTTTTCACATTCTGTCTCTCACAGTTGAAGTGTACCTCTGGTGCAAATTACTGACCTCTGTCATCATTTTAAGTGGGGGAACTTGCACAATCGGTGGCTGACTAAATACTTTTTTGCCCCACTGTAAGTGTGACGTAGCCTTAGATGGATAAGTATCAAGATAGTTCTTATCATCTTTAGGATAGCTAGAATAATTTCCACAACTTATTGACAACAGCAACTACAGTATGTGGATATCAGTAACCATACCCTTTCAATTGTCAGAATATTAAAAAATTATGTACAGTGGGGCAAAAAAGTATTTAGTCAGCCACCGATTGTGCAAGTTCCCCCACTTAAAATGATGACAGAGGTCAGTAATTTGCACCAGAGGTACACTTCAACTGTGAGAGACAGAATGTGAAAAAAAAATCCATGAATCCACATGGTAGGATTTGTAAAGAATTTATTCGTAAATTAGGGTGGAAAATAAGTATTTGGTCACCTCAAACATGGAAAATCTCTGGCTCTCACAGACCTGTAACGTCTTCTGTAAGACGCTTTTCTGTCCCCCACTCGTTACCTGTATGAATGGCACCTGTTTGAACTCATCATCTGTATAAAAGACACCTGTCCACAGCCTCAAACAGTCAGACTCCAAACTCCGCCATGGCCAAGACCAAAGAGCTTTCGAAGGACACCAGGAAAAGTATTGTAGACCTGCACCAGACTGGGAAGAGTGAATCTACAATAGGCAAGCAGCTTGGTGTGAAGAAATCAACTGTGGGAGCAATCATCAGAAAATGGAAGACATACAAGACCACTGATAATCTCCCTCGATCTGGGGCTCCACGCAAGATCTCATCCCGTGGGGTCAAAATGATCATGAGAACGGTGAGCAAAGATCCCAGAACCACACGGGGGGACCTGGTGAATGACCTGCAGAGAGCTGGGACCAAAGTAACAAAGGTCACCATCAGTAACACACTACAACGGCAGGGAATCAAATCCCGCAGTGCCAGACGTGTTCCGCTGCTGAAGCCAGTGCATGTCCAGGCCCGTCTGAAGTTTGCCAGAGAGCACATGGATGATACAGCAGAGGATTGGGAGAATGTCATGTGGTCAGATGAAACCAAAGTAGAACTTTTTGGTATAAACTCAACTCGTCGTGTTTGGAGGAAGAAGAATACTGAGTTGCATCCCAAGAACACCATACCTACTGTGAAGCATGGGGGTGGAAACATCATGCTATGGGGCTGTTTTTCTGCCAAGGGGACAGGACGACTGATCCGTGTTAAGGACAGAATGAATGGGGCCATGTATTGTGAGATTTTGAGCCAAAACCTCCTTCCATCAGTGAGAACTTTGAAGATGAAACGAGGCTGGGTCTTCCAACATGACAATGATCCAAAACACACCGCCCGGGCAACAAAGGAGTGGCTCCGTAAGAAGCATTTGAAAGTCCTGGAGTGGCCTAGCCAGTCTCCAGACCTCAACCCCATAGAAAATCTGTGGCGGGAGTTGAAAGTCCGTGTTGCTCGGCGACAGCCCCAAAACATCACTGCTCTCGAGAAGATCTGCATGGAGGAATGGGCCAAAATACCAGCTACTGTGTGTGCAAACCTGGTAAAGACCTATAGTAAACGTTTGACCTCTGTTATTGCCAACAAAGGTTATGTTACAAAGTATTGAGTTGTATTTTTGTTATTGACCAAATACTTATTTTCCACCCTGATTTACGAATAAATTCTTTACAAATCCTACCATGTGGATTCATGGATTTTTTTTTCACATTCTGTCTCTCACAGTTGAAGTGTACCTCTGGTGCAAATTACTGACCTCTGTCATCATTTTAGGTGGGGGAACTTGCACAATCGGTGGCTGACTAAATACTTTTTTGCCCCACTGTATACGCAAATTGCAATTTCAAGCTCAGTTAAACCCAAACTGTTATATCAGGCATCTTACTACTTTTTTACAGTTTTATTGGAGTACTTAATGGAGTATTTCTTCCAACAATTCCAGTCGGTAAATAAAGGAATCGTTATCAAATACTGAATGTCTTTCAACTAAAAGCAGGTTCAATAAAAATCAGGGGATCCTGACAAGAAATAGCTAAAAGGAAAGAATAAATACTTACCATATAGTTCTTGGCTTCTTCCTGGTTCTTACTAATCTCCCTTTGGGTTCTCTGCATTTTCTCCCAAGTGTTGTTCATTTCTGCACCAGTTTTTTCTATTTTACCTTTTATCTCAGTGACAGTATTTTCCAGTTTTTGTTCAACCCTTTCCTTTTGTCGCTGTATTTTTGTCTTCATGATTTCTAACTCATCCCTCTCTTTCCTTATCTTCTCCAGCAAACGCTCAAGCTCCCTTCTTTTTTGCTTTTCTCGAAAATTTGTCCATTTCGTTTGAGCCTTTACTTCTGTAAAGTCCCTCATGCTCTGCTTTGTTTCTTCACCCTTGTTACAAAGCACTTCATTGTTTTCTTCTTCCTCAGAGATCAAATTCTGCATGTAAGTATTTGGTTTGTCTTTTTCTACATTTTCCCTTCCTGTCTTTAGTTTCATTTCAACTCTCTTTAAGTCATCTCTTTCAGGCTGGATGTGTGTCACTTTAAAGCTTAGATCTGAATCTTGTTGCTTTTGATAATCAATATTCATCTTGATGTTCATGTGATTGTTCTCTGCCATTAGCTGCTGCTTTGCACTTTGAGTCACTTCCAGTTGTTGTTCACTGTCTTCCAGCACATCCCAAAGTTTCTCAATCTCTTCCTGGATTCTACACAGTTTTCTCTTCACTGTGTCAAATGTGGCTTTTCCATCGTTTCTTTCTCTCTGTCCTTCTTTATACATGTGAATTTTCTTCATTTCAGCCTGTTTTATAATGCTTGCCCATCTGTGCTTGACCATGTTGATCTTTACATACATAATATGTTTAATGTGGTTAATTTGTTCACTGTTTTTTGAAATGTCCTTTTTATTTCTTTTTAATGCTTGCTGTATGTTTGCTTTAGTTTTCTCCATTTTTTCTTTAACTTTCTTTACTTCAAGCATTATTTCCCTGTTTTTCTCAGTTGCATTCTCCAGTATATCCAGTTCCCGCTTTACCTGCTTATTAAGGGGCTCTTTGGGTTCCTCCCTTATTGGTGATTCTGTCTTACTAGCTTTTATAGTGTCTAGCTTGTGTCGCTCATTGATGAAGTATTGACGTCTTCTGTCCAGAGTATCCTTCTCTTGGTATATTTTAGTCCACATTTTCAGAAGGTTTGTTTTTTCCTTAGCAACTGAATTTTTGCTTTGTTTGAGTTTCTCAGTTATATTTTTTATTTGGAAGTTAAATTGCTTTAATAGTAGGTGATGTTTATTTTTTTCAGATGTCAGTCTCTCAATGTCTTCCTGTTGCCCCTCTGTCTTTGTCTTTAAGAAGTCAATTTCATTTGTCTTTCTTTCTGTCTGTCTCCAGAGTTGTTCGATCTCCTCCATTGCTTGACATATCAGTTGCCTTTGTCTTTTTAAAGTTTCTTTTTGGGTTTTCATGTCAGTTCTTGTTTGTTTGCTATCTGATTGCTTTCTGTTTTCCATTGTTGAGTTCCATTCTGTTGTCATCCTGCTGTCTTTGTTCTGTTGGTAAAAATAAATGAATAAACAAAGTGGCCAAACCATAACTAACAAATGACAAGACATTCTAAACTCATACTGTGTTGGAAGATAACAAGTAAAAGAGGGATAACCAGAAATTGACAGATGGATTGGGGCCACAACTGCAGTCATGTGGATGCTGTACCAGTCAATCATGGTGAACAGAGAGCTAAATAAAAAAGCGAAGATCTCAATTTACTGTTTGCTCTACATCCCTACCCTCACCTATGGTCATAAGCTTTGGGTAGTGATTGAAAGAACAAGATCACAGATACAAGCATGACATTAGCTTTTTCTGAAGGGTGGCTGCTAATCCTCCACATTGAAAGAAGCCAGTTCGGGTGGTTTGTGTGTCCCACAGGGCGGAGGCCCTGGAGGCCTGGGGTTCTCTGCTTAGACTGCTGCCCCCACGACCCAGCCACAGAGAAGATGGATAAATGACATAATTGTTTATATCACATTTACCGTATTTTTTTGCAACAATGTAATAATGTAGTTGGGTTATCTAAGGTCTGTGCTATAGCAAATGTAGAAAAAATGTTTTAAGAAGAGCCAATATAACTCGGTGTGCTAAAGAATGTGACTGTTTCCTTGCAAGACCATAGCGCGGCTACGTCTGCAGCCTGTCCACAGCTTGGACACAAACATTTCACTGCATGTGTTACTCTGTATGATTGTTGTTTAATGCTTTTTAAAATCATATTCAAGTAGATTTTGAAATGAAGATAGCTTGTATTTTTGTTTTTTGCATTAGAGGTGTTTCAGAGAAGTTGAGTTTTGTAATTGCATTTTTACCTTGTTTATACTTGTACTTTTTTTTTTTAAATAAATATCTTGTATGTAAGGTGACCTTGGGGGTCTTTAAAGGTGCTTATAAATAAAATGTGTTGTTGTTGTTGTTGTTGTTATTATTATTATTATTATTATTATTGAGAAAAAAATATATTAACACAAATGCATAAGCTGCAAAAATGTTATATAGTTGTTTGGAACAGAATTACAATGAGATTATCTTGGTTTAACAAGAGGTAACTGGATATGTTCAGACTTTAAATGTAAACATAACCAATTTGCATTGAATTAACCTGATGACTAAAGATTTTACATGGGGGGGGGGATTATCATTTTCATTTAACAAGTGAAAATAACATTAAAAACTATTAATTAACCAAGCATAACTTTGTTTTCAACATATAACTCATTAGTTGGATTAACATATGTTTAAGTTCAAGTTCAAATTCTGCTAACTGACTGAGAAACACACCTGGAAATGTATTCAAAACTGCATTTGTAGTAGAGATCTCCAGACCAAATTTCACCATTATGACACAGACTCACAAGTCTGAGGTGAAAAAAAACTAAGCGTAAATTTAGAGGTAACTGTGCTTTTGCTGTAGCTGCTCCAAAGTTTCTTCCACGTTAAGCAGGCCTCTTTTCTTTCTAAGTTTAAAACGTTTCTTAAAACATATTTATTTGCTGAAGACTTTGGTCTTTTTTATAACAGGTTGACTCTGTTATGCTGTTCATTAAAAAAAAACTGGAATATATAGATAGATATTCCAGTGATGACCTGTGCTCTAAACATTTCTAGGAATCTTTTTGCAACACATAAATGTGTTGGCTACTATACAGAGTTTATCAAACAAGTGTGAGTCTACTATTGGATAAATAACTGTATTAGGTATTACTTTCTCTCTGTGAAAGCTTATAAATATTTTAAGTATATGTATATAAATAATATATAATAATAATAAATATAAATACATCCTGAATGTAAAACTAATAAAATTACAACATATTAGTAAAACTGAGTCAATGTATTGAACCAAATCAAAAGTATTGTTTTTATGCCTTCTATCTATCCTATGTCAGTTCCCTGCCCCCAGTCCCCACTTCAAACCTTGGATGAGTAGAAAAACTATAATTCATCCTACCTCCATGTTCTTTTGCCTTGTAAATTTAAAAACAAAGCTGTGTAGCAGGTCATCTGAGAGTCCTGTGCTGGTTCACTTTGACGGCAGTTCTGTGGAAGTGTAGCAAGTGAGGACTAATCTGACCTAAACATTGTATATCTTCTCTGTCCACACCACCACTTTGATTATCAGATACACATGGCATCCAATAAGTGTGTCTAATTGGATAATAGGTAATGTTTGGCTGCAAAAACGTCATGCTCCCTGAGTCTGGTCTCAGCTGATAAGGGTGGGGTCCATACTTGGCTGCATAGAGCCATTCTCCATGTATGCAAAACACACAGACTTGTGTGCTTACTATGCTTCCATATTCCAACATTTTAAAGATACAAATAACATCTGCTAGCTTTTTTAGTAGGAATCGCTTGTGAAAAGTAGTGTGCAGTGTGATTATGTACAGAATTTGTTCAAACTAATAAAACCTTGACTTGAAACCCGCATTGAAAGGGAATACGGTATTTAACAACATTTACATACACCATATACTTGTATCTGACAATACAGGAAAACCACAGTTCTACAGGTTCAGAGGAGACCATGTTGGTATTTACAAAGTGGTATATCAAAACCACAAATTCTTTGCAATTGCATTATTCTTAAAATATTTTATAAATATAACTTAATATGACTTCACTGTTTCTAAGACAGTCATAGAGTGGTTTAAATGACTTACACATTTTATACAGTGTCCTCACTTTTGGGGATTGGGCTGTATTTTAAGTGTCTCCCATTTTACAGAAAAAAAAGCAATGTGAAAATATTTCAGTTTTAATTGCATATGTCAGAAATATGAACTATTCAGAACAACTTGAACGGCTGAAAGGTTACAACTGTAGACAAGATAAGGAAAAGCTGCCATACTTTTAATGGTCTTGCAGGCACTGCCTCATCCTCCTCCTCTGCTCAGTGCACAGAGGGAAAAACAGAGAAAGAATGAGATTATAAATTTATGAAAGTTGAAAATAAAATATGTAGCAACTTATTGGTTCATCACAAAATATATTACAGATGTTTCTTGTCAGGAGTCTGGGCCTCAGTCTCTTTCTCGGCAGTGTTGGTGACGTTTGAGATAGTTTAGGTGGGTTGTGCATTAGTTTATCTCAGACACAGACTACTTTGTCTTGTCATTTTTTTATTCATTAGAGATTTAGTGGATTACTGGTGTTGGGGCTCAAGTCTAGGGGCCCATTTGCTCGGGTACTACTACAACCATTTGTATTGGGGATGGTGGGTGCTGGTCTTGAGTGGACACACACATCATAGCAAAATTGTATGTTCTATGTTTCTCTGTTTTGTCTTGCAGGCAGAGATGGGCAGTAATCCAATTACTTTTTCTTAAGTAACAAGTAAAATAAGAGATTACTATTGCAAAAAAGTAATTCGATTACTGTTACTTTCCCGTGAGCACGCTGTGTTACTGCTTTACTGCGTTACTAAACTGCGATTTTGTTTGTGACAGTGTCACATGACAATGACGTACACGCGTGTGACGTCCGTGGCAGCAACAGACATGTGTGGATCAACAATGGATAATATGGAGTGCGGGAGAGAGTACAACCATGTAGCATTAAAAGCTTGGATGTACTGACATTACTTTGGGCACTGGGCACTGGGCAAACCTCCACTGGCCCCACTCCTGATAAACAGGTGAAAAGAAATTTAAGAGCAACAGGACTTAGCACTGCAGAATTTTGGAAACAAAATGTAAACTGCAGCTTTATTTATCCCCCTTAAGAGATGGCTTCTCAGATGGCACAGCCACATCCAGATGCCTTCCGGACAACTGTGCACAGACTATGCACCTTTTTAGTTGTTAACTTATTTATTGCTTTGTTATACATTGCAAAATCTTCTAGATTTATAGTTTACGACAGCAGATCACTTCTCAACATCGATAACAATTTGCACATGTAATCTTGAGCAGTTTTAAACCCGACTGGTCCTGGCTGACTGAGATACTACGCGGCATGGACAGGACGCTCACCCGAGGTGAAGAACAAAGAAGCGCCGGGAGGAAACGCGCTGGCGTTCGGAACAGACTGAGGCAGCAGGCGACTGTGCACCTCTGACCAATATCCTGCTAGTAATGTTCAATCATTGGAGAACAAACTAGATAATCTGAGGGCAAGAGTCACCTTTCAAAGAGACATGAGGGACTGCAACATTCTGTGCTTCACTGAGACATGGCTGACCCCCGCCATGCTGGACCGTGCTGTAACTGCATCTGATTGATCTGAACAGAACGGTAGAGTCAAACAAAATGAAAAGTTGGAGGATTGTGTCTTATGGTAAAGAGAAAGTGGTGTGACACCAGGAGCATATCTACGCTCTCCAGCGGCTGCTCTCCACATCTGGAATACCTGAGCATTAAGTGTCGCCCTTTTTACCTGTCCCGTGAGTTGGTCTACATCCCACCCCAAGCAGACACAGGTATGGCTTTGTCTAAACTACATTATGTGCTGAGTGCATTTCAAAACAAGGATTTGTGTTCACCCCTCATTGTGGCAGGAGACTTTCATAAAGCAAACCTCTGACAAGTCATGCCAAACTTTTACCAACATGTCACATGTCCGACAAGGGGAGACAGAATCTTGGACCATTGCCACACGCAATACAAGCAGGGCTACAAAGCTATTTCACACCCAGCTTTTGGGAAGTCTGACCATAATACCATCTTCCTAATTCCTCAGTGTAAACAACACATACCAAAGAGATGAAGTAACCACAAGGGAGCTGAAACACTGGTCTGCCAAACACTACAGGACGCACTCAATGACGTAGACTGGGACATGTTCAGGGCATGTGCACTTGACATCAATGGGTTTATGGAAGTAGCAGTAAGCTTCATTAGCATGCTAATGGAGGAGATCATCCGCACTGTAAGAGCCGTGACATTCCCGAACCAGAAACAGACAGATCGATCCGCACTGCAGTGAACGCCAGGACCGCCACCTACAACGCAGGTCTCGCGTCTGGCAATATGAGCGCCTACAAAACTGCTTCATACGGCGTGCGGCACGTGGTGAGGGATGCCAAACGCTGGTATCAGGAGTGCGTGGAGTCTCGCTTCCACCAGGGCGACACGCGGAGCATGTGGCACGGACTACGCACAATCACGGACTATAAAGTAGGGGTGGATTTTAATAATCGATTCATCGATTAAAATCAATTCTGGCTTGGATAACGTGATATCGATTCATTAAAATCCTGAATCGATTTTTTTTTTAAAAATGTATTTTGCCCAAAATTCCAGAATCTCAGGTGAAACGTCACAAAATTTTGACAACCACCAGACATTTAAAACAGTAAATGAGAGCAGGTACAGACTTCTGCACAAAGACGTAAACACAAAGCGTGGACCCGCAGATCAGAATCAGTGAGATGTCGCCTTTCTCACGGCACGGACACGGTCGGGGCTGAAAGCCGACAGCTCACTGATTCTGATGTTTCAGCGGGCCTGCGCTTTGTGTTTACGCCCTTTTTGCGCTGATTCTAAAGCTGTTAGTTTTATCTCTCTCCAAACAATATTGACCGAACCAGCAGCAAAAGAAGATCCAAACTAAGCTTCACATAAACATTGTCATCGTCATGGACTCCCTCTTACTTTTGTTGTTTTGCTTCCACCACACACTTCATGCACAGCTCTCTCTCTTTCTCAGTGTACTTCAAGAACAGTTTCCCGTCTATCCCCGAAATCTGTTTTCTGTATTATTCGCTTGCTTGTTACGCACAAGACTACCGTTCTTACAGCGCTGTCAGCCGATGTTTTTTTTCCTTTTACTTACTTCCGAAAAGAAAACCTAGTTTCTGCCGTTCAATAGACGTCTGAACAAATTTAAACTTTTTAAAATTATACAAAATGCAAAACGCTTAGCCATGTCTCTAATAAAACCAGCTCCACCGCGACCCCAACATCACTCCGTGGCTGTACTAACCTCACAGCAGATAAGAATCAGCTACACCCTTTCCCTATCCACTCACACTAACTTGCATTAACATCTGTTTAACTTACCAGTATCAAATCGCATCTTAAAGTGTGATTTCATAGCAGAATTAACACCGTCACTCTCCGTCAGTGATTTAATTGGAATGTTTACGTTTTGTTTTTGTTGTTTTTTTCTTCTCGTTTTTTTCCCCTCTCTTTTCCCCCTCTTGGTTTTATGCTGCTCACCCCTGTCCTTGGTTTCTTTCTTTATTCCTTTCACTGCCTCGATCACCTGCTTCGACACTCATCCACAAAC